TTTTCACCGGAACTCAACCCTAGATATATGTGTGTGTATATATATATATATATAAACAAATAAAAACTATTAAAATTTTAACATTTTTGAAATAAGAGTAAAATATATTTTTAGTCCTTGTGGTTTGTTAAAAATTTCTATTTTCATCCTTATTGTTGTGAAATCATGATTTTCATCCTCATAGTTTGTAATTCATTATTCTGTTTATCCTTATGATTTGAAATTTATTGTATTTTTCAACCCTGTGGTTTATAATTCATTTTTATTTTAGTCTATCATACTTATGAGTAATAATTAGCCTCAGAGACGAATATAAAAATGAATTACAAACCATAAGAATAAAAATCATAATTTTGAAACCACAAGGATGAAATCTGTAATTTCTAGTAAACCACGGACAAAAAAAATATAATTTACTCTTCTAAAACATGAGGGACCAAATTGTTAGTTATGAAAAGTGGGGGCAAAAAGTAGTATAAATAAATAGTGTTACTTTAAATTTGGTGTATCAAACTAGGGGTGAGCAGCAGAACCGGGTACCCGGTTATGGAATCGGAACCGTCTTGGAACCGCCGGTTCCGGAATTGGAACCGATATGAGTGGTTCCGGTTCCTAAAATACGGAACCGATTGAGAATAGTTCCGGTTCTCAATTTTCGGAACCGTTACCCGACGGGTACTCGGTATTTTTCAATTAAAAAATAATAATTATTTTTTAATACCAAATTTATATTAGGTTTATATCTTGAAAGCACGCCGTCATCTTCATTTTTCATCTAAATTCTTCATATAGAATGATTCGTATATTTTCAAATTGTGTGTTCACTTGGATTCATAGTATGTAATCGTTAAACTTTGAACATTTACCATTATAGTATGTAATCGTTAAATTTTGAACATTTTCTATTAGTCTATTATGTTTTGTAATCGTTAAACAACATTTGTAACCATTATTCTGTATAATTTGTATTCTTGCTTATTTATTTAGTGTTTTGGCAATGTTTTATTTTTTATTTCTAAATAACAAAATTTTAATATTTTAGGAAGCGGGTACCCGGAACCGGAACCGGTTCCCGGATGTTCCGGTTCCGATTCCAAAAATTTAAGAACCGCTTTAACCAGTTCCGGTTCCAATATCTCAAGAACCGCCGGTTCCGGTTCCTGTCAAAAATGACGGGTACCCGCCTATGCTCACCCCTATATCAAACCATGTCCAATGGGAATACCAATTAGTACACTAAATACTAAAATTCGATACTTGTATTTGTTTTTAAGAAGTGCTGAAGTCTGATTTCATTTCTGATTTATAATGGGTACATCAAATTTTGGCATAATACTATTTATTACACCAATTGAAGAAGGTCTAAAATATACCTATAATATTTTATTTTGATGTAAGATTTAGGTTCCATTTGTTTTGCAGGGTTGAAAAAGATTTGGAGAAATTTGGAATTCAATTCCAGTTCAATCTATATTTGGTTCGATGGATTGTTTGGATTTGAAATCTGACGATTTCATTGAAATCCTACAAACATGGGATTTAAAAATTCTATGGCGTTTGTTGGTATTTAATGAGACTTCTTAAGATTTTTGTCTAATAATGTTTAAAAATATGTTGAAAAGATAATTTAATTATTTTATAAGTATTTATAATTTGTTTTTATGAATCATTTATACAAATTTGAATTCAATTTCATTCCAAATTCTACAAACCAAACACATCAGAAATTCCAAATTCTTCCACGAAATTCAAATCCCTCAAACCAAACACCCTCTCAGCATTATCCACTGAAGAAGATTGTTGTTTACACCAAATTTTATACCAGTTTTATGAATCTGGTTTAAGATTAAGTTATCCGTGATGCACTGATGCCCAATGTCGTGTCAGAATTATTGTGGCCATTAGATAAAATAATGTTTAGTGTAAGATTTGATGACACCATTGTAGATATTCTTAGCCTTTACCGTCACACCCTACTTTCTTTCTTTCATTTATTTAAGGCTGTGATGATATTCCATAACTTAAAACCGAATTAAATACCATTATACCCAAAGACATCTGACTCATCGCAACATAAGACTTCAAAATATCAAATAACTTAGATAAATTGGTTACTTTGTCTAAATATGAATAACTAAAATACAGACATAGTTCAAACATAAGATGACTGTGAATATTGACAGAGTCATCTTTGGCCCAGGGTGAATACATGATCACTCTCAAGTTTGACCAAATATAACCTTCAAGATTGTTTTGATACCAAAGGGCTTTTGGTCTAGCGGTATCGTAGTCTTTGGCTTCCTAGAAGGTCAGTCACCAAAGTGAGGAGAGTGTGTGAGTTTATTTGTTGCATTTGTCTTGTATAAATTTTATGTATGCATATTAAATTAAATGTTCGGGATTCATTGAAAGTAATTTGTTTGTCGTTTGAAAATGTTTTATTATATATATTGAGTGAAAAGGGAAATGTTTGGATATTATTTTATTGAAAAACGTTTCAGTTGGATGTTACGAATCTTTAAGTAATATAAATCGACCTGAACTTTTCGACCGATTTACTGAAAATGAAAATTTGTCGAGTTCATGTTGAATCTATGAAGGTCATCACACCATATGTTTTTTTTATTGGATCACTTCATCACTATAATATTTTTATACATTTACATATGACCTTGGAGCTCCTGTACGCAAGCTCAGGCACTCGCTTGGATTGCCTCTTGTTGACATGCCAATGCGACCTTTTTAGCGAGCTCAATGTTCGCATCGTGTGGTCTGCACAATTGCCTTGACAAGGTCAGTACTCGTTTGCGTCTTCGTCTATATAGGTTATTTTCTTTATGTGACCTTCGAACTTGCATTCGAGGTCAGGTACAATGCACAGAGTCGTTTGGGCTAGATGTAAATAAACATAAGCTAGATTTTCCAATTCTTCATCAATTTAACTCATTTTCTTGCTTTGGAACACTACTAGCATGCATGTCTAACACTTGGCACGTTTAAATATCATGTACATCAATTTAACATGTATGAATACATGCATAAACTCATTGCTTACCGTCTTTTCACATAATAATCATTTACTAGCTTGATTAATGGCTTCAGTACATCATGCGTGTCCTATTTCGATGCTAAACTACTTAATATCCTCATGTGGTACCAACACGCATACGAACATAAAATTGGTACATAATTCATACCTTGATTTATTGGACTTGCTTGTTAAAACTTTTTTTTTTTGAAGTATATAATATTTATGTACGGCAAATATAACAAATAAACTCACACACCCTCCTCACATTTGGTGAGGTTTGAACACTTGACCTCCTAGAAGGCCAATGACTCACATACCGCTAGGTTGAAGGCCCTTTGGTTACTTGTTAAAACTTGAGTACTTCTCTGCTTCCAATCGTGCACAAGACTCTACTTTTTCTTACTTGCTCTCTCAATAACTTGTTTAGCAAACAGGGGAATGAAATGGTTGGTTTATGCCATTTTGATCCTCGGTTGATCATAATCTCCCCAACTGTCGCTGCCCTTAAAATGCATAACCTTCAAAAACACGTTTAATTTGGACGGGTTTATCCATTTTAATTCAAACCCAAAACTTTGATGGATTAACTTGTAGTTACACTCCTTTTTTCGTGAAATGGCATCATTAGTCCCTGTCTTTAACTTTGCATGAATTCCTGGTGTTACGTCAACTTATACTACTAGTCTTTTATGTCATTCAAGCCAAAATACGAAAAATATATTTCATATCATATCGGTCACGTACTTGTTATGTAAAACATTCTACCAACCAAACTTCTGTTTTTATGCAATTCACTTGGTTTCGCCTTTTAGGGGACCAACTTTTGGCTCACTAACGCTGTGTTACCAAATTTGGAGAGAAAATAAAAAAAATGGATTTTATCTGTGTTCTCGAAAGGAAATAAATGAAAAGGAAGAAAATAATTTTTCATGTTTTTGAATAGAAGACAAAGAAAAATAAAGATATCATTTTTACAAATATACCCTTTAAAAATATATCCGAAAAGGCTGGATAGATTTGTAATTTTAATAATCTTTTTTTAAAAAATTAATTTATTTTCTTTCCTTTCATCTTATATTTTGAAGGGATGTTTTGGATGGAAACTCATCGTTATTTTCTTTTTCTTTCCCTCCTAAATAAGTTTCGAGAACATAGATTTTTTTTTTTTACTTTTCTCTCTTTTCCTTTTCTTATGTTAAAAAAAGTTACGAGAACACATTGTACGCCTTTCCATGCGACCAGTGGATCTCATACGGACTCCCACACTTTTGCGTAAAGAACGTAACATGATTGCATAAGCTATAATAACATCATAATTATCAGTGCAATCTATATGATGTCATAAGAAAACACCTTTCACTTCTTTCACAAAAATACGTTAGGGTTATAATTTCTCACACGTGTCTGATTTTTACAATGGGATAGGTCGGTAGGCCATCACCATGTGTTTTCGTTGTTTATATATCATGCTTAAGGACCCATAATTGATGATTGACAAAACACATTATCAATAATCGTTCCTCAATCAAATAATAACTTATACTCGTCAAGGAACACCATGACACCCTTGTAAGTGACATATGATTGCAAGTTCACCTGACTTTTTGAAGTTATTTAACTGGACTTAAACCGGGTATATTACGTATTGCTGCATACCATCTATCACTCGATTAAAATTGACTTTACAAGTTTTCATGCGCGAAATCATGTGTACAAGCTTTGAAAACTAACTTCATTCAATATAAGTCATAGACAATAGAGTGGATAATTTAAGGGACTGTTATTGCCTTTAAGCCATAGTTGAGGGGTCCTAAACAAAATTAAAAGAACCCGGTTCAGGACCGGTCAATTGTACCCATTCGTTGTACCAAATCAGACGGACCGGCTCCGTGAGGAAAACCAAAATAAGATTGAACTATCGTTGTATTTTCCCCAATCAGACCTGAAGATCGAGAGAGAGGGCAAAATTCCGTCTCCGATTAGCCCTCTCTCGTCTCCAATTCATTCAAGAAACACGGTGGGATCGTAAACCCTAAGTGTTTAACTTGTGAACCATGTTCATATGGTTCACGATTTGTTTGTGAATGCGAAGATCGAATGCTCGTGTGGCAGCAGCAGCAGCAGTCGATCATTCTGATCTCACTACAGAGAATAATAAGATGAATAAGTCGATAAAGCTTAAATTTCGCCCTGATCAGCTCATCCGCTCCACGAATCTCTTTTCCAGAAACCACAAACAATATCACCATTCGAAATCGAAATTATTTGTGATCGGATTCTTAATCCTAGTTCTCGTATCGTCTTGTTATTTATATCTTAGCTCAAGAAAGTTCGTGCTGAAGCGGTATCGAATTGTGATCGATGGAGGGAGCACGGGGAGTCGGATTCATGTATTTGAGTATGTAATTGAGGATAGGGCTCCAGTTTTTGATTTTGGTGGTAAGAACTGCTTGGGTTCGATGCGGATTAGCCCGGGGTTATCGGCATTTGCGGAGGATCCAGAAGGGGCTGGTGTGTCACTGTTGGAGTTGTTGACATTTGCGAGGAAGAGGGTTCCCGAAAAGGAATGGCGGAAGACGGAGGTCAGACTTATGGCGACGGCTGGGTTAAGGATGTTGGATCTGGGTGTCCAGGAGCTGATTCTGGAGTCTTGCAGGAACGTTTTGAGGGGTTCTGGATTTGAGTTTCGTGATGGTTGGGCATCGGTTATTTCAGGTATAGGAAAATTTTATGCGGGATTTTTTATGTGGTTATAATTTTGTTATTTCTCTTTTGTTTTTTTAAGCACTTATAGCTAGTTATCCATGATTCTGGGACGTAAATGTAATATAGGTTGTTTTTGGAGATACATTTAACGGTGAATGCAATTTGATCTATGAAGCCAACAAACAATGCAAGAAGACATCCGGGATAAATTGTGTGCTGGATGCGATAATGTTTATAACTTCGCAAAATCCTTTGCTTATTGAGATGATTTGTATGTAATTTTAGGATTAAATTTAGGGAATCCTTTTGAGGTACAGTTGGTGCTGTTTATGAATTCATACCTTAACTAGCACTGCAAGAAGGGGAATACTTCAACAGGAAAATGAATGAAATGTAGCTCTCATTGTTCGATCATGCTGTAATGGATCTTATTAATTTAACTTGCAATCATCAGTTCTTTTCTTCTTGTTGTTGAATGCATGTTACTTAAATTGGATGAAGAGTTTGTTTGAGAAATCATTCTATGAGTATTTGCATGTTGTATAAAAGTTTTTCTTTTATGGTATATTTAGTACGATCCAGATGCTTAATGAAAACATGTGCCAATTCAACACGACAACTGTTTGATGGAGTTTCAGGAAAGTTATGCCATCTTGGGTTTGTTGTTTTAGGTTCGGATGAGGGAGTTTATGCATGGGTTGTGGCTAACTATGCTCTTGGAACTCTTGGAGGTGATCCTGAGGAAACAACAGGGATAATAGAACTCGGTGGTGCTTCTGCTCAGGTTTGTATAATTCTTGTTTTCTTTAAATTTTAGAAATCTTCTCCATTTATGGTGACACATTTTTAGTATTATGTTCGATGTTTCCTAATATAGTTAATGTAGCATGCTATATTATGCTCTCTCTGTCCCATAAAACATGCAACACTTCCTATATTGGGTTGTCACATAAAATGCAAAGTTTCCTTTATTGGGAAGTTCCCCTTGAAAATTTACCTATTTGCCAATTAGCAATCACTGTAAGATATTTGTTAGATTGATTGTGGTCCCCAAGTTCTCTCATTTTTGTCTCATTAAGGGATATTTTAGGTATACAATTATCAGGCAAAGACTCCTATTAAACTACATGTCAAATCAGAAGTTGCATTTGTTTTGGGACGGAGGGAGTATCATGAAGTAACATATATTGGATTAGATAAACATATTTGATGTCAGTTTATGTGGCATTGGAGGATCAAATGTGCACAGTACATGTTTTTGATGCAACCATGTATGGAGATTTTTTTGAATATCACATTTTTTTACAGTTAATACTCAGAAGTCTGAACATGTGCTTGTTACTTTGAATCATTGCATTCAATAATTTCAGGTGACATTTGTCTCAAGAGAGCCAATACCCGCTGAATTTTCGCAAAGGGTTAAGTTTGGAAAGCTCAGTTACAATCTATACAGCCACAGCTTGCTTCATTTCGGTCAGGTAAACATTTTTTATAGTAGTGGCTGGGGTAGACTTGATTGCATTAAAGCATTGTGTTGCTATTTATGATTGTAATTTGGTTCCAATTGATTTTTATATATATGGAAAGATCTTAAGCTGGACACCAAATTCACTGAGCGAAAGTCAATTTCTTATGCCGTCTGTTATGAGGGACAGCATGGCTAAAATATTATATAGCAACTTTTATAAGACTCAAAAAATTCATCATATTCTTCTTTGTTAAAAATATGAAGTTTGTGGTTTGTAGTAGTATCCATCAAAAAGAAAAAAATTAAAATATTTGAAAGGCATTTTCTCACAATTATCACTCTAGGTTTAAAATGATACATAAGGAAAAGTTTCCTTGAGGTACTCCACAAACAAATCAATCTCCTAGGTATAACCAAGGTTCTAAATGCCGTTAGGCGTGGCCGCAAGGTCAAGCCTTAAGTCTTCCGTGCCACGGCGAGGATGTGGCGTTTTTTCAAGGCGCGACCTAATGCGGCAAATTTGTATGTCATATATATAACTATATATACATATACATTGTCTATTATTATTACACAATTTAAATTCATATTAGAAGAAGAAAAATAATATATATCGAAGATCATATAGTCTGTGATCAAAGATTAAAAATAGAAATTGGAAGAGTTTTACAGTTTCGTTTTAACCGTGTGTACATGACGTATGTGTGAGTCTGTAAAAGTGTAAAACCTACAGTAAAAAGTGTAAAAGGTAAAAAGAACTAAAAGATAAATAAAATTAAAGAAGAAAAGAAAACAGTCACGTCTATATAAACGCACGCCATGGTGGGCCTCAAGCCGCGATGGCGTGAGCCATGCCTAACACAAATGCTATGGGCCTTTATGTGATGGCGGAGACGTGTCTTACGTCGTGGTGTGCCTTTTAGAATCCTGGGTATAAGAACCACATGTTAATTGTTCATTTCATTACTTCCAGGTTTTCCATCTTTCTACATAGAACCCAACTTAGATCCCAAGTTCTAGTTGCATTTATATTCTGATATCACACTATCATACTTTTAGAGCCATTTTGGGATTAGAACTGCATGATGATTGTTTCTGATATACTAGTATTTTTCACAACCGCCATCAGATGTCAGTATGAAATGTTGGTTCACTGCAACAATGAGCATATTTTTGAAGCAACAACTTTTAATCAACTCGGCAACTGCTATCATTTTGCAGAATATCGCATTTGACTTGCTTCAGGAGTCCATTGTTGCAGATGGTACACGTTTGGGTAGGTAGCTTTATGTTTCCTGTTAACTTTAGATTCATGTCTCTAACATATTAAGAACGACAAACGGGGGGAATTTTTGTTTGATATTAACACCGGTGATTCTGTGCAAAAAACTTCATACGCTCGTTGCCATTGTTCTCTGTGCATGAGAATTTAGTCCCATTTAAAACTCCAGCCAATGATGTTTATATTTTTAGGGTGATAGGCTAGCACTTTGTTGTTTCTCTGCTTGTCCTTCTAACTTCCTATGACTGTTAAAGTTGGATTAAGTTTGCTAGAAGTCTGTGACCAGTAGATTAGTTATTTGTTGGTTGCCTTTTTAGGCTTTTAGTTTTCATAGTGAACTTTCTTCCAATAGGACAAACCAACCAAAATACGAAAAATTTGAAGTTGGCCATTGTACTTGAGACATGTATCTGTCTTTGGTGCATCCTCATGCTCATTTGCCTCTTTGTGTTGCTATCATTTAGCACGGGGACTTTTAAGTGTGGATAAGGTTTATAATTTGATATACAGAACTTTAGATCTCTCCTCCCCCCCCCCCCCAAAAAAAAAAATCACATATGGACTGCAGAGATTAAAATGATGATAACTCCTTCAAATACTGCCGAAAGAAAATCACATATCAAGAAGTTATTTTCTTTTGTTATTCACTCTTTTTTCTAAAGGACTGAAATTGAATCTTGAGTACCACTCGAGTTACTTTGTTGTAGATTAAATATGATTATATAAAACTATAACAACCTATATGGTAATAAAATATCATGAAACTAAAAATCTAGAAATGCCCATGCCAATTTTAACTTTAAGATGTAGGAATGTTTAAAGTTTCTGAAAATAAAGTGAATCATGCTCCCCTGAATTTTGTATATATATAATGCAGTGTACAGTTTATTTCTTTCTGTAATTTTCTTTTATAACGAAAGATCAATTCATCATAATCTTTTTTATATATTTATTACTTTTAAGCTCATTTAATTTGCACCCTGTATAGATAGTATTCCACTGATGCATGTTTCAGTTTATAGGCCACCAAATATAATGAAAGAAATAAGCATAATTTTATCAATAGTTTGAATCATACAATACAAGAAGGATATCAAGTTTCTTCTTTCTAATCTTCATTACTTGAGTTTATTCTGGTGTACAAAGTCAATTCTGAAAGTCTGTAAAGGGTTCCATGTACTCTTTTGTGCTTGCCTCTGTTCATGTTACTTTTTATTTGGGCACATCTGGCTACTGACTCTTTTGATGGCAATATATCAGTCGATCCATGTTCTCCCAAAGGATATGAGCACAATGTGATGACTGAGAAGCTCGCTCCCACTTTGGTAAAAAATGATCAATTATCCAGTTTACAAGCAAGTGGCAACTTCTCGGAGTGCATATCTGCTTCCTTATCACTCTTGCAGAAAGGCAAAGGTACAAGTTCTTTCCGGAATGGTGTAGCATTTCTGATATCTCTCCATGGGTTTTTTGATAGATTCATTGAAACACAGATGAATGTGCCTATGAAAAATGCTACATTGGTTCGACATTTATACCGAAACTTGAAGGAAAATTTTTGGCAACAGAAAATTTCTTCCATACATCCAAGGTTTGATGAACTTTTTGATTAAATCATTCAACTCTTTGTTCTCGGATTTCCTAATGTTTGTGCCTTTTTTTATAGTTTTTTGGGTTGTCCCCAAGAACATTTCTTTATGAGATGAAGGTAGCTGGACAAAAGTTCTGTGAAGAGGATTGGTCAAATCTAAAGATGAAATACCCGGGTTTCCCAGAGGAAGATCTGCATCGTTACTGCTTCTCTTCAGCATATATTGTCGCTTTACTTCATGACAGCCTTGGAATCGCTTTAGATGATGAAAGGTACTTCTTCCCTCACCAATCTATCAAAATTCTATTTTAGAATATGAAGCCTCCATCGGCCGTAAGGACCTGGTAACCTAATTGCCACCACGGGACCCCTCTCCCCGTCTCACCCTGTAACTACTCCCAACTCCTCTTCCCTCTCCCAGCCAGAGACTCCTATCCATAGCCGGCTAACCTAGTCTTACATATCCGAGAGCTCCTACCTTTAACTGCTCATCCCACGTCTTCCTCGGACAGCCCCTCCTCATCCCTTCAACCGTCATACTTTCTACCTCCTCACTTGTGACGTAGTCAGCCTCCAACGTACATGTCAGAACCACTGTAACCTTCCCCCTCTTCATTTATCCGTGATGGGCACTCCTGAAAGGCCTCGTAACTTAGTTAGTCTGGTGGCAACCCTGTAGAATTTCCCCTTCAGTTTTAGCAGAACTTTCCTGTCACACAACACTCCGGTTGCCGCTCTCCACTTCAACCACCTGTTCTTTATGCAATGTGTCACATCATCCTCAACTTCTCCCCGCCTAAATACTTGAAGCTGTTTTGTCCTTTTGAGGCATCCTTTGTACATTCTTAGCCTTTTTGTTGTCTGGTCTTCTTCTTATAAAGGGGTTCTCTTCCTTCAACTTTATACTAGTGCTAAATTCTCAAAAGATAATCAAACCACGTAGATACAATGTCCAATTTTTTCCATTTCAATTACCATCATGTTTGATGATATCGGTTCTAATTAGAATCTTCAAATCCCTTTTGTGGGTAACAACTAGTCCCTTTGATTTCGAGCAGGATTGGATACGCAAATAAGGTGAACGATGTTCCTCTTGATTGGGCATTGGGTGCATTCATCCTCCAGAGCGCTGGCGGCATGGATGGTGACCCTTTAGACTCCAGGAGTTCTGTTTTTGGCGGCGAGGAGTCTTCTTCGACTTTGTTAGGTTTGTTAGCCTTTGTCCTCCTTTTGTTGTTTGCTGCATATTTCGTGTCAAAATGGAGGAAGCCTGAGATGAAGACTATATATGATCTAGAGAAAGGGAAGTATATCGTTACTCGAGTAGCTAGGTAGATGCATTCTCATAGTTTTCTTTTCCTTTTTTCGGGAGAAGGGTGGGATCTTCACCCTTGTGGACCAGCTTTTCCAAGTGCGAATGGACTGTCAACACGATCCGTGCCTGTTGGATGTTCCTTTGATGTCTTCTCGGAACGTGAGAGCCGGAGGAGAAAATCGGTCAATGTCGATGGATATCGGGAAATAAACAGAAGCATAACATTCTTACCGTCATTCTGTTCAGGAGAACCGTTGGTAGAAGGTTAATTACGAAAAATACTAACACATTGTTTGTTCGTTAATTTGATAAAAGGAAATGGTTTTCGTTATCAGATATTGACATTTTTTTTGAAGTATATAATATTTATATACGTCAAAACGCACACACATCTCTCAAAAAATCTTTGGTGAAGCCTAAACCCTTCGACTTGCGATAAGTTTAGGATTTTGACGTTTTCTTTTATGAGTTAGATTGTTGGACTGTTTGTATCAAAAACAAAATATCTGGTGGGCCAATTCTGACGGAGAAATAACTTGAGGGGTCAAATTGTAAACTTAATAATTTGTTTTATATAATGCATAATATAACAAGTTTTGTTCATATTGAAATTATCTAACATATATATCAAGTCTCGTTTATCAAATGTTTATTTGGGTAAGCACTTACCAAGTTATGTTACCTTATCGGATGAATTTGACAAGGATTAAAAATCTTATCTGATAAGATAAAAGACAAGGACCAAGAGTCTTACACGGTAGGTGAAGACGATGACTCTCACAGGTGGCGCTTACCGGGTAAATTATTGCATAAGGTACTGTTTTAATGGACTAAAATCTTATCCAATAAGTAAGTGATGGTTCAATTTTACCGGTAAACACTTATTCGGATAAGTGTTGAAATATAGTGGAGTGTAAGATCATTGAAAATCGAAGAACTTCTCAAAGAAAAAAGTTGAAATTTATATTTGAAGATAATAGAAATTAAAACTAGTCGAACATGTCTTGTTAATTCAAAGATTGGATGAGAAGTCCCGAAAAATATTTTGTCATGATTTATAAGCGTCGAAGTTAACGATTATTTTAGTTTTCTGTATAATTCAAAATTTTACCGTTAAGTAAACTATTATAGATTTAAAAATACAATGTAATTTCTATTGTTTTATTGATGAAGTCTTTTTTAATAAAGATGGAGTATTGTGTCATATTAGTAGAATTTGATGATTATTTATTATTTAAATATATTTATCGGTTGATTATTAGTTATTTTTATACTGTTGAAACAAGTTTAAAAAGCTGTATATATGTTATAACAAAATGTAACATTGATTTTTAAGATATTTCATTAATATAGTGAAAATACAAAGAAAGTTTTTTTTATTAACCTGGATATCCAACTCGTTATGCGAGCCGACTAATCTCAGGGTGACCACCTGCTTTGCAGATAGCCCGGAGTAATCGCATTTGAACCTCCGTGGTCACAAGGGGATTTTTATTCCTCATTGGATTTGAACCTAGGATCTCCTGGTACTTTTGACATTTGAAGCCAAACTCAAAATCAATCAGACACCACCCTTGTGGTTAAAATACAAAGAAAGTTGTATGCATGTTATACGTAGAAGATTGGGGGCCCTAAGAATATACGAAAATCCAAAACCGATAACTCACTCGAACCAACAAGGTAAGTAAGAACATCTCCAACAGTTATGCTAAAATAGAGATTTCAGAGATTTGAGGTATATTTTTGCTTTAAAAGCTATGCTATACCATATGTTAAAATAGAGAAAAGAAGAGAGATAATAGATTTCCCAAATTTAGAGATATCTCTAAAACTCGATATAAGAGAGAGAGAGAGAGAGAGAGAGAGAGAGAGAGAGTATTTAATTGTTTCACACCAATAAGAGATATCGAAATTAAGGTTTAGAAGGGAGAAATAATATTTTATTTAACATATTAAATATTTTAATAATATAATTAATGATAAAATTGCTAAAATAAAGTAGCTGTTAAAGTTGAATATAATTTTTTTAGAGATTCCAACTTTGATACTTTATTTTAAAAACATGATAGCACAGTTGTTGGATATGCTCTAAAAGCATCTTTAACAACTACATTAAAATCGAGATTTTGAGTGTATTTTTATTCTAACAACTATGCTATAATATATGCTAAAATAGATAAAAGAAAAAACAGATGAGAGAAATCTTTAAATTTAGAGAAATCTCTATAACTCTATATTTAAGAGAAAGAAATAATATTTAATTTCATCTCACCAGTAGAAGACTTTAGAATTAAGTATCTAGAAAAATAATATTTTATTAAATGTATTGAATATTTTAATATAGTTAATGATAAAATTACTAAAATAGAGTAATACTTAGAGTTAGATATTTTTTTTAATATTTTTTTAACTTTTAATACTATATTTAAAAAAATTATAACATAATCGTTGAAAATGTTTAAAAAATTTGAGTTGTTTAACACAACAATGCACTTGAATTCTTGTAGTTTGGTAATTTGAATAATAGATTTATTTTAAAATTTAAGATAATGAATGATTAGGTTGAAAAAAAGATTCTAGATATAAAGAAATATCTAACATATTATTTATTTTCATTTTTATTATTATTATTATATTATATTTTTATTTTATTATTCCAATAATTACATTTCAAATTATTTCTTATTTATATTTTGAAAAATCTATCTATTATAGCAACATGTAATCGAGTTAATTAAATCTCAATGACATGTTACAAGTAAAAAGATTTTCATGACATGTCACTATCTACATGTAATATGCCGCCAACATGACAAAATATTAACTTTTTGTTTTTATTAACCTGAACATCCAGCTCGTTATGCAAGCTTACTAACCCATCTGCTTTGCGAGTAGCCCGAAGTCACCGCATTTGAACCTCCATGGCCACAAAAGAATTTTTATTTCTCCTTGGATTTGAAACTGGAACTTCCAGACGCTTTTGACTTTTAGAACTCAAGCTCAAACCAATCAGGCACCACCCTTATGGTTAACTTTTTCTTCTTTTAGTGAAACTAGAAACTAGCGTGCGTCTCGTGCGTTCCATGGTAATGATATATATTTTAAATAAGTATATAACCAGTTAACATAAAACGTAATTTTTTTAATTAAAAGTTAATAAGATACAATTTCAAATAAAAAAATGGTTCATTTTCCTCACATCATTTGTATCAATATTCCTCTTATTCATCGACCACTTCATATTTATATTCATTGACTTTTGTTGACCAGGCCGGGCCGATCCTATAACCAGTTACGTAACCGGTTCCGGTCTTAACCGGTCTCGGTCCTAGAAAACGTTAAAATCCACAACCGGTCCATACCGATCCCGAGCCGGTTCCGGTCCCTTTCCTGTCCCGGTTCCGATCCTCCGGCGGTTACGAGCCGGGCCGGGCCCATTTGGCCATCTCTACTCTCCATACAACATTTCAACGTGGGTAAATATTTAACAACTATTATTTTCATTTAATACCAAACCAATTCTACATATTTTCTTTTTAATTTTATATTCAACAAATATATTTAAAATATCTCAAATACTTAAACATATCTTCTACCCAATTAGTTGTAATTTGACCGATTAAGGTACTTTAATTTTAGGATTTCACATATTAACAACAGCAGAGGCCTATAAGGGTCTTTAGGGGTCAGGGTCTCTATGGTTTTTTGTCTTTTAGGTAGGTAAAACTTAATCTACTATGTTAAAGATTTATTTTTTCTACTTCTACTTAAGTACGGTCACCCCGGTTAAAAAGCATATATTCCACTACTGTATATTAAACATAAAAAACAAACGTTATAAAATTATGAACTGTAATGAAATACAATAAATTTAAATGTTTACTCGTACAAAATAAATGTTTGTATTTTTTGTTTTAAAATGAATGTTGACTTTAGAAAATAAATGTCAAGGTTGCAACTTTTTATCCTAAATTAAGAAATTAAAAAAAAAAAAAAAATCATGAATCTCTTTGTTATTAAAATTAAAACCATCATTTTTAATTAATCTAGAAGCCGTATTTTCAAAGCTATATGTTCTTTAATTATGAACAGAGTAAACTACAAATTTAGTCCATGTGGTTTGTCAAAAATGACATTTTTGTTCCTTGTGGTTTTAAAATTATAAGAAAACCATCATGGTTTGTAAAAACATCCGGATTTAGTCTCTTATTCTAACGACCGTTAATTTTTTTTTTTTGCTAAATGAGGAGCATTTTCGTCATTTTATCAGATTTTTGTTTTTTACTCGGTCAAAAACCACAGGGACCAAAATCATAAAATCGATTTTGATTAGGGAAAAACAAGGTTTTTGAATGACACGAGGCGTGACGAGATCAAACATCAAGCCTTAGGAGCCATCACATTTTTCAATGCATGATTTATGACGGTAGATCTCTATCGTATATAATATTATACTTATAAGCATATGTTTTCAACTATTTATTCAATGAGTCAATCATATTAAACAATTTAAATAACCTAACAAATAAGACATCAAAAGTTAAGAAAAATCAAATATCACGTTACGAAAACCGTGCACTAGGACATGACGTGTCACGGGCTTAACGTTGTGTGAAACACAAGCCTTGAGCTATAGCGGACATTGCAGTAAGCCTTTTTGAAACAATAGGTAAAAGACAAAAAAAACTCGATAAAAGAATGAAAATGCACCTTATTTAACAAAAAAAAATTCACCGTCATCAGATGAAGGGACACAAACTTGACATTTTTATAAACCACAATAACCATCTTGTGATTTTGAAATTGAGAACGAAAAGTGTTATTTTGACAAACCACATAAACCAAATCTATAATTTACTTTTACAATAAATTAGGGATTTGGTCATTGTGGTCACTATTATTGTTTTGTCTTTTTCTGATTATGAATTATCATCTTCTTTAAAGGACAATACGATGAACATGAACAAACCTTAAAACTTAAATTTAAAACCCCAAATCAAAACATAAACATAACCTAATGCCGAGACGGAATGGTGGTCGGTGGAGAGGAAGACCAAGTCCACGACAGTGTGGTGGTGCTTTGGAAAAAAAGAGAAAGACAAAATTAAGAATAAAAAGACTAAAATAGCCCTGAATTTAACGAAATCTTTTTGATTTTGTTAGGAGGTAGTCATGGTACAAAACCGTAAAGTAGAAGTACCAAGTTTATATTCATTTTGATTTTAGATAAAGAATATTCATATGTGAAGAAGTCAATAATATTAATAATATTTGGGAGGATGAGGATGAGGAATAGAAGAAGTATTCGTGTTTGATGTGAGTTGTTGATAATTGGGAAAGTCGTCCAAGAGGAAAGTTCCAGGCGTTGAACTCAAAGTTCCATCGTGAATCTACGAACCCTAATTTCTGTATTTATAATCGACGTTCCAAAATTGTTTCCACCATTTTTCTACTTTCCCCAAAACACACGCGGTGTCGACCAAATTTAGTCATCTTTTTTAGAGGGAGAAACTCCGGTTACAAACATCATTCCCTTCTTATTTCCTACCCTCCTCCTCCTACCATTTTTTTTCCTCCTTCATTTTCAGGTGAGTTTCCATGTCTAATTTCCATTTTGCTGCATTCTAGGCTTCTCTTCTATGACTATCATCATGCTCAAACTTCACCTGTCAATTTGCTTTCCAGATACATCGGTATCGATCTTGTTACCTGGATCAAATCCTGTTTTTTGCATTTTCATTTGGTTTTTTTAGGGATTTGTGATCATCATCCCGTTAACATGAATTTTAATTTCTACGCGTTTTCTTTTCTCTCTCTCGATATAATCGACCTTAATGGTTGACTTTGATTATTTCATAATTGTGCTAAAGAAATCAGATTTTGATCTAATGTTCTTTACAATTTGGGTATTCGATCTTTGATTGTTTGATCATGATGTGGATTATTTGAATGATGTGCTTCAAATTTATGTATGTATTTTGGCATAATCAGGATATGGTTTTCTTTTGTTTCATGTTGTGTGATGATATCAATTTTGTGGTTTCTGGTTGATTTCTGTTCCTAATCAAAGACTGTTTTAATGTTTGGTGTGCATACAGGCTTCCATTATAGATGGGTGATCACTTGGTTCTGGATGTGAATCGACCCATTAAAAGAAGCGAGGAGATGGCGGGCCCCTCATCTTCCAACACAGTAGCTGTTGTACCGGAAGAAAATGGGGGTTCGTATGATGAGGAAGCACCTCTATTGACAATGGCAGAGTGTCGTATTTGCCAGGAGGAAGATTCCATTGATTCTTTGGAGACACCCTGCGCTTGCAATGGCAGTCTTAAGGTAATCAATGGTATCTGTAACTTTATTCCTATGGACTTTCTAGCACAACTACAAGTATCAGCCGAATTAGTGATTTGATGTTTGTCGTGGTTATTTATTTTGCTATATGAATGATGTTTATGCAGTACGCTCACAGGAAGTGTGTTCAACACTGGTGCAATGAAAAGGGTGATATAACTTGTGAGATATGCCATCAGGTACGTAATCATCATGTATATGAATGGTTAGTTCCTATGTTCTCAACGTATTTACATTTCTCATCTGAACTTGCCCTGTGTCAAGTATGCACATATAATTACATTTAAGTCAACGGGCAAAGATTTTTTTACCACGGGAGAGCATGGGATGTGTGATTCTCTATGGTTAAGAAGAGTGATTATGCCAGTTAGATATGATGAGAGTTATTTGCACAAAAGTAGCTCAAAGCAAGTATACTACTTTATGCATCTATATGCTTTTATTTATGGTTTTGTGTTGATTTGTCAATACGTGCAGCCTTACCAACCTGGCTATGTTGCACCTCCTCCCCGCCCCTGCTTGGAAGAGACCACCATAGACATTGGGTAATCTTTCTTTTTTTGCTTTAGATTGTGAGCAAGCATCCTCCTTTTTCATAGTCACTGTCATAAAAAACAAGAATATTGACAATATGGTTAAGCTTTCTTCTTGTTTGTTTAGTTGTAATTCATGTTGTATGGGTGGTTTTTGGCAGGGGAGCATGGCAAATTTCAGAAGCTGAACGGCAATATCTGGAAGCTGAGTATGACGATTATAATGCGACAAATGCCAGCGGAGCTGCATTTTGCCGATCAGCTGTTTTAATTGTAAACTCATATTCCTACGACTTTTATTAATGTTCTTAAAAATAACTGTTACTATTGGTTCACTTACAGATTTATATTTATAACCTTTTGGCAGTTGATGGCTCTTCTGCTGCTTCGACATGCATCATCTGTACCAGATTCTGAAGGAGATGGAGATGGAGACGAAGATGCATCTACGTTCTTAACTGTAAGTGGAACTCGGATGATGTTAGGATTAATAACTGAACACAGCAAAATTAGTACTCAAGTCCAATATTTTCTTTGTTTGACAGCTTTTCTTGCTTCGGGTTGCTGGATTTCTTCTGCCCTGCTACATCATGGTGTGGGCCATCAGCATTTTGCAGCGTCGAAGGCAAAGACAGGTAGGTTTTCGTAGTTTCTCATCCATTCTAACTGTTGGAGCCATTACTACTTGTTAGATATCTGATTTTGGTGAAATTTGGTAGGAGGCGGCGGCATTGGCGGCAGCACAATTTGCTTTCGTGTTGCAAGCAGGACAAAGAAGAGGGTTACACTTCACGGTGGCGTCTTTGGGACCTGCACCAGCCGCACAAGCACCGGCACCAGCCGCACAAGCACCGGCACCAGCACCCACTGTGACTCCAACTGCAGCTCCACAAGATGAAAATGTTTAAATGGCGGAGGAAGGAAAAGGAAATTTTTTTTTTTTGGTTTTTTAAGAAAATTTTGTTTTAGTTTTTCTCATGGCATCTCAGATTTATTATTGTCAAATAATCACCCAAACGTGTTGTTATGTTGTTAATGTGCCATTCGACAATTGACCATTCTTCATCAAACTCAAATCTACCATCCTCTACCCTAAAACTTCAAACACTATGTTCATATTCATCAAGAGTAATTCAATGATTGTAACAAATATCAGCATAAAACCTACATTTCAGTTTATGCAGTCACATATTCACATATGAATATGTAAGGCAAATGTTTAATTACCTGAAGGGAAATACCTTAATAGTACGCTTCTCACTATATAGGTAGTCAGCATTTATAGCAGATCATCTTCTACATGAATCCATATTAGCTACAATTGTACATAATCAGCAGCCTTAATCCTATCGATCAGGTATTATTTCAAGGAAACTGAATCTTCTTAGAATGATGACGGCATGAGCTGCCAGAATTGAAAGTACGAACATCATTTTCCAAATCGACAGAACTACTTTCAGGGGTTTCTCTTACCCCTCTTCTTTCCAGCTTAGTCCTTGATTTCAGTCACTTTATCCCACATTGACGCTGCAAATATATATATAGAGGGAGGGGGAGAGAAGGGGAGGATCAATAGAGAAGAATGCTAATAAGAGAATATGAAAACAGCCAAATCGCGTGTGATTTGCAGGCAACTTTGGCCGCATCTTCAGGTTGCAGGACAAAATGAATCACATGTGATTTTGTCCGTGATGTTAGTATAAAGTTACATGTGATTCGATTATTTTCTTATTCTCTTAAATACGTGTCGTTCTCGTTTGAACCGACTCTATACATGTATATTTGCAAGAAGTACTCAATGCCCCCATAATCTAAGTTTAATTTGAACAATCAATCTGCTGCCATTTTCCCCGATTAACATTTTAATGAATCTTGCAAGCACCCAACATTGCATCGAAAAGGTTGACCTCTAGTTCTATCACTCTCCCTGCCAAACCATTTTAAGCATAGCTATGCAACGATAGTATTCCAACACACCAAAATCACCTTTTTCCCCTTTCTAACATGACAACTCTAACCACAACCCTTCAACAAATACTTACAGGCTGCACTCCATCTTCCATCTTACCACAAAAAAGCAAAAACCCATCATAATTGGAAGAATTATGTGCATGCCGTTTAGGGTGGGTTTGGTATGTTGCACACGACAAGACAGAACAAAAAGTTATTGTCCCACGTTCGTAACATTAGACTTGCAAGATTGGTAAGTTACCAAACTACCCATGTCAAAATAAGTCATATTTCCAAATTCACACCATGAAGATATTCCTACTTCACGCTTCTTTTTAAGATGGATAAGATTCATTTCATCTATTTGTATTTAACCATGTGTAAAGGTGTCCAAAAAATTGTCTAAGGACTTCTTCTTGGGTGGAGAGAGTATCAATCTCAGCCATCTGGTATTCAATATAAAGATTCAATAATCAAAACGAGAGAAGCATCAATGCCAATTGATCACTTAATGTATTATCTTGTGAAATTTCCAATGAATATTCAGTACCAATCTCATGTGGAGAGGCAGAAGTACTGACCTGAATATTGACTGAAGCAAATAACTGAGCAAGTATCTAACCTTCAAATCTAAGCATAGAGAATGAAACGATTACGCCTTTGATTTCTTCGCTTTGGTAGGAGAGAACTGGAAAGGCAGGAAAGTCTTGCCACCCATAAATCCCTGCAACACTTTTGGCACTTCAACACCGTCATCCTTTTGGTAGTTCTCAAGGATACAGCACATAGTCCTCTCTGTTGCTGTAAGGGTAGCATTTAATAAATGACAGTATTGCTTGGTCTCCTCATTACTCTGCAAAAAAGAAGAGATATGAAAGTCAACATTCCTCTTAATCAAATAAATTTATAAACAGCACACATGATATTTTCCATGTGCGTGGTGAAAGAAAATTGAGTTTCTCTGTATAGATTTTGAATAAGAAAGATTGCTAGGGAAAACAGAAGTGATTACTATAACTCTTTAACTACTTCCCTAATCACCCTTGTCCATTTAGCAACAAACATGCAAATGTGTCTTATTTTGCGAGCAGGGGTCTGCATGGAGACAGCCTCTCTACCCCTTGGGATAGAAGCAAGGTTTGCGTACATCCTCCACCACCCCTGGCGGACCCTACCTCTATGTGGGATTTACTGGGTTGGTTTGGTTTATGAATGTGTCCTACTCATGACTTCCCTTCATTTTTCCTTGCCATCAAACTTTACGTAACCTAAAAGAGCAAAATGATGTCAAAGAAAGTAGTTCCTTCACACTTATTTGCATAGATCACGTTTTGACATATTTCAACAAGAATTCGCCTTGGAGCAATTGATATAGTTACTTCTTTGTGACTGTATTGTCATAGCTAACCACAAATGCTCCAAAGTTGGAGCTTAGAAGGCACTGCATGGCGTCCTCCTCCCTTTCACCCTTCTTGTTCTACAGGGAAAACTTCATCCTTGTAGATAGTTTCTAGACTTCTCATCATGTAAACTTTATAGGAAACTCAAGGGCACTTGATCATAGATATTGACTAATTTAATCTCAAATGTTCATTTAGTGGTTGAGCAACTAATAATAGGGTTAGCATTGTCATTTGTAAATTTTAATTTATTACGCAAATGCAATAAAAGTTCTTCCATAGCAATCCCACTCAACGTCTTAAAAAGCGGAATCGGGCCTTAAGATGTTTTTCCTCAATGAGGCGAGGCGTAAACCTCAAGGCGGTCCGAGGCGTAAGCCCTGAGGTGGATATTATACACACTAAATATATACAAAGTGGGAGACTGGAAAAGAAATAATATAAACACACACATATCTACCATATACTCTTCAAAATGGGAAATAATATATATATATATATATACATATATATATATACAGGCAAAGGATCGTGTGACAGGGAGAGACAAAGTGAGAAGCGTAAGAAGGTTTAACCCACCCATGAATCACGCTTGATACGGGGATTAGTCTGGTAATGTGCATCCGAGGGTGGAGATCCCTTCTTACGCTTCTCACCTTAACTTTCCTTCTCACCGGAACCCAAATCCTATATATATACACACGTGAAGCTCTTCAAATTGGGAGACTAGTAAAGACGTTGGAGATGACAAATGAAAACTAGAAGAAGACAGGGCAAGAAAATGGGTTTATTTTACAAAAGTTAAATCAACAAGTTCATTTCTAAACCCTAAATTCTAACCCGCATCTAAACACCACCTGAGTCTCGCCTCACCGTGTCAGGTGCCTTAAGGCCCACCTCAGTGGCTCGAGGCGTACGACTCAACAGCCCATGAGACGTGCCGCCTCAGACTCGATTTTCTAGCGCCTCGCCTCGAGGCGTACACCTCCAACGCTTTTTAAAACCATGATCTTACTTGTGTGCATGTTCCCTTTTGGGTAGAGATCGGGTCTACATACCCTCCCGCCGGGCAGGACCCTGCTCTCAAACAGAATATACTGGGATCATTTAGTTTGGTTGGCCCCACTGACAGTAAGCTTGCGTAATTGTCACGAGAACAGGCTCATCGCAAAATGCAATAAGTTACATACAAAATCTCCCCTTCCAACCCTTGCAAATCCAAGGACACTCGGCTGACCATTTGACTTCGAATATACTGCCAATAAGCAGCATGGCTCACTAACTTACATGTAACAGTAGGATTATAACGGAACAAAGTGAATGACAGGTACACAAGTATAAGAATATAACGAAAGCCGTATAACAAACCTTCTTTTGTCCATATCTGATCTCCAGTTTTCTTGATTGGTAATCAGTGCAGTTAGAGCACGACACGAGCTCTCTGTAGGTGCTGGATGCAGGAAACCATGCTTCAAGATCATACTTCTTCGCTGCAGCATCATTTAAGGCACCAGAGACTACAGACACTACTTGATAGGGAAGTTTCAGCATCTGGTAGAACTCCTCCGAGTTTCTCATCATTTCCTCATGCATGTCCCAAGAATCATTGCCATTTGGGCTGGTTAAGCAGAATTGTTCCAATTTTTCAAACTGATGAACCCGAAAAATCCCAAGAGTGTCACGACCATGTGAACCAGCTTCTTTACGAAAGCAAGACGAATACGCGGCATATCTTAATGGTAGCTGTGTTGGATGGATCCAATCATCCATGTGATAAGCGCAAAGTGGTTGTTCAGCAGTAGCAATCAAATACTTATCATCTCCCTCACCGGTTACCTTGTAAAGTTCTTCATCAAATTGCGCTAATTGAGCACACTTGGCCATCACATCTTTCCTCATGAAGAATGGAGTCTGCAACAAAGTGTAACCCTTTTTCTCCAAAAAATTTAGACCAAAGTTTACAAGAGCTTGATTAAGACGTACTCCATCTCCTTTCAAATAATATCCTCTACCACCAGCAACATTAGCACCTCTTTTCAGCTCTGCCATTCCAAGAAGTTCAACAAGCTCCACATGATTTCTCAGGTTCGCCTCCTCCCTCTTCTCCCCCCAACTCCGAACTATCTCGTTGTCTGCCTAAAATTATTCATTGATAAGCAAAGGATTAATTCAACCATCCAAAATAGTAGTTTTTATATACCAAACTGATATAAAATTTCGTATTTGTTAGCCAATTTGTGTCGGTTCTTTTACTTCTATATAGTGTATTCATCTAGGAAAAAAACAATCAAAAACCTAGAATCAACTACCCGCAAAACATACCAGTGTCATGTAAAATATCTAGGGGTTCAGTTTAAGAAGACTAGCAATCTCGCATCAGGACTAGTATAATGCAGAAGAAAAATATACGCACCTCATCATTGCTAACTGGAACAGAATCATGAACAATATTTCCAACCAAATCCAGATTTGAATGCAATGCTCTTCGGGCCTCCTGAACCTGTGCTTCTTTCTTTGCAGTCAATTGCTTGTTTTCCTCTGTATCTTTAATCAATGAACTTGCATCCTCTCCTGCAATTCTGAGTCTGGCGACTTCCTTGTTGATCTTGTTGAAATCTTTTCGGAACTGTTCCAGCTCGAATTGATGAGTTTTCCATTCTTCATAAAGTTTAATAATTTTATCAACAATCTCTACATTGGCAAATCGACGGCGCTGAGATTCACGTATGATCTCTGGAATTCGCTTGAACAGGTTTATTCCCAACATTATATCTCCCACTCTTCTTTGCAAATATGAAGATTGAAGAAGCAGAGATTTTCCAAGAGCTGAAAAATCAAGGAAAGGATCTGCCTCAAATCTTGGGGTGCCGAGTAAGGTGAACTCTCTGCGAGGTTCTTAATTGAGTCTACTTTGAATTCTGTAAGAAGCTGCAAAGGAAATGAATGGTTAACAAAGAAACTTTTATATCAATCTCCCTATCCAACAAACAATTTTAAACCTAATTCCTAGGAGAAACCTATATCTTGGAACTTCTTTAAGCTATTTGCTGAGTAGAAGAAACAGAACTTCCCGTCTCAAAGCTTCCCTTTAACTTCTAATCACGATCTAAGGATTTAATACATGACTGTCAGCCAAATGATAATGGACTATGTAATTTGTCAAACTGCTATCGACAGTGTTTCCCCATTACAATATGCAGTAATTTAATTTATTCGAGATCGCAAATCAAATCTTCCACTTGCTTGTATTTTTATCCAAAGTTCATGCCCGTTACAATAACGGAAAAGATGAAGCATGCAACCAGTGGCGGATCTAGAAACTATTATGGTTGGGGGCATACTTAGAAGGGTCGAAAAAATTTCGAAACCGAACAATTCTTCCGAACCAAAAAAGGTTTCGGGTTTCCATTTTCAGGTTTCAACTGTTCGGTTAACCGAATAAAGATAACTAATGCGGTTGAAATAAGCTACGCATTGACTCTACAAATTCATTTGATTTGCCTTCAAAATTGCCTATAAAACTAACCTAACATTTGACATTTCCATTTGATTTGCCTACAAAATTGCCTATAAAATTAACCTAACATAAAGCATTTACCAAATCACCAATAAGCAAACAACAAAATCAAAGAAGTAATCAAAATTAAAGACTAGAATTTGGAAATTAGAATTTTTACCCAAATTATTTGCTTCAATCCGGTGACTCCAAGTCTCCAATTCCAGCCGCATCCACAGTCGAAACTCGAACTCAAGAACAAGATAAAAATCAATGGTTTAGTAACATTTTTATTTGCCTACAAAATTAACCTAAAATTTGATATTTCCATTTGATTTGCCTAATTGCCTACAAAATTACCTA